GGGGGGGGGGTTCAGTGGAAATGTTTGACTGCATGCATGTGATTCATAAAATTGAGAAATGAGGAACAAATATGGGCGGAGATTGAGAGATTATTCACATTTCATGCCATGGTCAGGATCAAGGCAACATATTAAATTGACTCCATTTAAAGGGGGCTTGACCAGCTCCATATTCATTTGGCCCATTAGAGAGTTCCTCTTTTATTGCTTTTTAAGTAAAAGAGCATGTTGAAGAGCAAATATGGGCTGTTTTAGTAACAGATAAAGATGATGTAAAATATAGAAAGCAGTTATGAAATTAGGAGGAGAAGCAATCCAACCAATACAGCCTAAAACGAAAAAGTGATTGTAAACATTTCAAACTCTGAGTCATCCGAGTCAAGGCAACCACAAATCAAGCCTAAATGTGAGGTAATCAAACTTTCAATCAGTTTATCTGAAAATTTTTGGACATCTTAGACAGTCTAAGTTATCTACGTAGGACTCTTTGTTACTTTGGCTTACCATAACCAGGGCAATCCGGGTTGTAGCACCAATAGAGGCCCAGCCTCATAGGTACATTTCAAATCTTCTGTTATCTATGGCTGTGTTTTTGATCATTTTAATTATTAAGACTTTTGTTGTGCAACGGGGACCGTTCGGACTCCTCTGAGAAATCAAACAGAAACTAAACGAACGCATGGTGCAGCAAAGGCCAGCAGTTCTGGGCAAGATTCAGCTGTACACTTGCACCTCAAGAAAAAAAAACTTAACACCTTTGATGCCTGAAATGTTAGATTTTGGACAGAGAGGACAATGACAAGTGGATCTTTGATTTGCTTCTGACTTGGAATGTGCTTAGGGGTAATTGTTAAAGACTCGTGGATAAGTCTCTAGAAAAACAGAGTGAACGTCCAGTTTCCTCTGATTTAAGCCTGTTTTGTGATAGCAAGCTTGTCAGACTACAACTGCCATGAAGCACTTGTTCTATAAGGTAAACAGTCCATCCAATTCAATTTGGTTCACACATATCATCTTAAGGCAGTTTACAGAGACAATACAGACAGATTGGTTCAAGTTTTATTTTACATTACTAAATAGGAACTTTATCCAAATCTTGCAAATAACTTACCGTAAGGTATTCCTTTCTGGTCATTTTGGTCAACAGCTGTATTCACACTGTTGACCAAATAGCCTCACATGGAGGCTATTTTTGCCCAGGTGGTTTCTTATCTTTGAATCAAAGTCAATGACCCTGGCAGACACAAAGCTAGTCCTGAGGTTTTTTAGATGTTCTGGGTTCCTCTGTAAAGTGCTGATGGAATAAATCACAGAGGTCTACCCCTCCTGTGTCATCCACTCTTCCCTGTTTCCTCCATTGGTTCCTAAAGGCATTTCCTGGGGTTCCTTCCTAAACATAAAAAAATGGCTTTGTACACATTTCCTCGTTTATGGGTGGCTTTTTTGCGTAAATCAAGCACTTTTTGACATCTTTTAGCCTGCTTCGTGTTTTCTTTCAGGTCCTAATTAAAGTGTTTTTTGTTCTGCTGGTCTCACGGAAACCTGGAATTTCTATGATTTATAAATAAACTCTGCTTACCAAAGAGTCCAATTTATCAGTATTATCAGACTTATCTATGGGTCAAGACATTCAAACAGAGGGTCAGATTCTTGGCTTATACTTGATAATCGAAATGTTCTTTTAAAAAACACCCCAAATAATAGCAGTAATAAGAGTTTTTTGATTGCTAATTTGGAAAGCACAAAAACTCAGCCCTGCTTTTGCAATAAAAGAAACATGTCCATGTTCTAACATGTGCTTTGCAGTAAGAAAAGTGCAACTTCTTCTTTAATTCCGAAAAATGATCACTCTGGCAGAGAGAAGTTTAATGCAAATCCTAGCTCCCATACACCCACACACACCCAAATCATGAGATGATGAAATAAAGCATTAAATTGAACAAGTGAGAAGAGATGCAGCTGCGGGAACCAGATCCAAAACTGTCTGGGTGCGATGAAACGACTCAGGGGCCAAACAAGATGCTATTCATTAGAGAACCACCCGATAAACCACCAGCAGCTGAGACGTCTGTCTGTGACCTCAATTACCCCCCTGACTCACTTACCACTTCTTTGATCCATAAACTAAGCTCACCGGGTTCAGCTAGGGGAGGATATATGTGTGCAGGGAGTAATAATGGGACTTTCTAGAACGTTGCTCTTCTAAAGCAGCTCATAGTGATGCTGCATGTTATTCATAAAAATACCTCAAACATCCTGAGAGCAAAAAAAAGAAAAAAGATAGAGCATAGAGACTGCAATAGGACCAAAACAAAACTTGTGTTTGGTTGCTACAGCAGCAGCAGCGGAGGAAACCCTCCTGCTGCACGGATACACGGGAGAACCAAACCACACTCTCTTTATTTTACTGTAAAATAAACAATGTTTCCATGTTGCGGAACCACTTTGGATTTTCAGGACCATTAAACAACACATATCGTGATACTGTCCTGAAGATTTCAGCATGTACTTCTGCAAGGTCAGTTTATGTGATTCCAGGAATTTCACGGCCCGTAT